CGAGCAAAAGATACAGGTAAGCAGATGTGTCATTGGATAATGTCATGTATCCTGAAACAGAGGTTAGTGTTCGCCCAGGGCACCAAACAGGCTGAGCATGAATGAGGATGAATAAACTGTTAAACTATTAATATGTCTTGTTTCTTTAGACTAATCATTCAACCACCAAAAGGGAGTCAACTGGAAAATAACCTGTTTGGCATTGGCAGAGATGATATGCCAAGGTTTTCATTGATACAACCCACATACTCAACTCTGCTGTTCAACAAACCAATGAAATTTCCTTTCGAGGAAATGTGTTTTCCAATGGTATAAAATCTACTGCCAAGAAGCACTGTTACAACAAAGAAATATTCAATAATGGCAAGTGCCTAAAAATGGAATGTGAAATGCTGCATCCCATGGAAAGACCAATTTCAAGCTTTGAACTTGAAAAGTAAACGTATGCGATCTGCAGCTATACATAGCTCAGTGGCATTAGCTTGATATCTTCTATTCTAATTATGTTATTTGCACCTAAATAGAGAGATTTAAATTTCACTGATAACTTTCTATCCAGGCAGAAAAAAAGAACAATAATTTTTTCACTGACACAAAACAACCCCTAACTATACAACTTGTCACCAACAGAGAAAAAGATAACATGGGAGCCAAGAAAGCCCAGTGTTTCTGTTGATATGCAGCCTCCAGCAGCCTTGACCTATTGCAGCATACCTAAACAAGTGTTCTGGGTCACCTGATCCAACCAGAAATTTTATCAAAAAGGAAAGTTGTATAGTATAATCTTACAACTTAGAAGAGGCAATACCATTTTAAAACCAAAGTCTTGTTAAATACTAAGTTATTTTGTATGATGTGTGAAGTTTGCTTAAGGTGGTGTTATGCTTATAAAAATATATAAAAACATAGAAATAAAAAATAAAGGAACCTTCACCTTCTGAATTCTTTATCAAATACGTTTTGTTTGTTTTTTTTGTTTACTGGCAAAAGTTGTTTGCAAATGTAATAGGCTAGGTAATTAAAAGACTGTGAGCTTTTAGCATGGTGTATCCCAAATTAGCATATATACAATTTCTAGATTTCTTGAGATTTCTTTCTTGAGATCCTTAGGTATCTGGGTTTTTGAGGAAGCAATTCATACAAACATTTTTGGATGCAGCTTACACGGTCATATCCAGCACTATTAAATACTCACGGTTTTTCTTGTACATCAGAATCTCAAAAGAGTTCATCTCGTAGTTCTCAAAGGTCTGTCGAACCTTCTCACTCATTTCCTTGTCTGTCAGCTCTCCATACATGAAGCTGCAGAGGAAAACCAAGTATTTGCATTGATACAGTACATATTTACTTGAGACAATCAGTCCTCATTAATCCATGCGGTGGTATCCATGTGTGTTGTGGTACCTGCAGGTGCTGCTCTTTTGCATGACCTCAGCACGATGGTAGCCAGAGAGTTTACAGAAGCCATCATTGCTATAGACGATAGGCCACTCCACGATCTGAGCGTTTCCCAGCACAAAATTGGTATCTGACCACAGAAGCCAATAAGTGATAGTCTGCCCTACTTCGCAACATCACATGACTGAAAAATTATATGAATCCTGCATACACAATATTTCTCCACATTTCACGAGGGCTACAACAACTAGTTTAAAAAATGCTCATTGCAGCCTTCCAGAGTCCACATTATTCTGATAAAATATTTTGGTCGTCCAATAGCACCAATCCCAATACAGAAGCTAAGTTAAGCTAACTATTACGTAAGTAATTGTTGCTAATCAATTAAGTGGTAAATTAAACTAATAAATAATTGCCTCACTTTTACACCTGTAAAATCAGTGTTAAACTAATTATGATTATTCTTTTTATTTAATAACCAACTGGCCTACACTTAATACCTGTGCTATTAAAAGACAGTCATTTTTCAATTCAGTTCAATTCAGGTTAATTTATAAAGTGCCAAATCACAACAGTGTCCTCCACGTGTGTTTTATTGTAAGGTTGGGACCCTCCAATAACAGAGGGGAAACCTCTAATAGTGGATGGGAATTAATAAGAATTTATCAATTCCAATACCATTATTATTGGTATTGATAAGTGATATTACTTATTGATTCTCTTACTGATTTGTTTGTTACCTGTTGAAGTTCAGGGTCTAGTTGCTGGACCAGGGATGGGATTCACTCAGCTTTAACATCACTCTAGGTTTTTAGCTAGCTTAGTGTTAGCATGTTGTCTGTGCAGGTACTTGCAAAGAGCCGAATTTGTGTTGGCAGCAAAATGTGTTTGTCCTGGATGGAGGTTCCACTCACTCTTGTGTTTTTGTCCTTTTGTGAATTAAAAATAAAATTTATGTCTATATCCACCTTTAAGAATGTGCCAAAATCAGCTGATTGTAGTACAAGTGCAAGTGGAATCAATGAGCAGGCACACAGACTAACAGTTCAAAGGAATTGAACTCCTGGGAACTGGTTCTTGATTCCCATCCCACCCCCAACAATCAGATGTTTTATGAGGAAATAAGGCGACGGCAGAAAAGAAAAACTTTTTTTTCTGTCTCACATTCTACTTTTACCTCAGGAACCAGAGGCTAAGAAAGTAATTAAGTAAGTAACATTTATTTATAAAGCACTTTTCACAGATAAAATATGGATGGTAAAATGTGTCCTGATTATTCAAGACCTTACATAAGGCGAAGGACTTTGAAATTTTATTCTGGATTTAACACGAAGGCAATGAAAAGAAGCTACTATGGGGAAAATACTGTCTTGCTTGTTACTTCATCTAAGTACTCTAAGGAGCTTGGAAAGAAAAGCGTCTGGACTTCTTTAAGTTACTTGAAGACGTTTCACCGCTCATCCGAGAAGCTTCTTCAGTTCTAAGGTCAAACGTTGGAGAGTCCCAGATTTAAGATCTGTGG